GATCTGAGATGGCTGAAGGATCAGAAATCCATTTGCCTTGATCAATTACAGAAGCAAAATTCTGACACAGCCCATTTCTCTCTGTCTCTTTTTTTTTCTTTAAGGGATGGGATCTTGCTCTGTTGCCCTGGCTGGAGTGCAGTGGTGCGATCACAGCTCAGTGCAGCTTTGTAATCCTGGGCCCAGGAGATCTTCTTGCCTCAGCCTCCCCAGGAACTACGACAACGGATGCTTACTACTGTGCCTGGCTAATTTTTAAAAAAAAATTTTAATTCAGATGGGGATCTCACTATGTTGCCCAGGCTGGTCTCAAACTCTTGGCCTCAAGCAATCCTCCTGCCTCAGCCTCCCAAAGTGCTGGGATGAGCCACTATGCCTGGCCTCATTTCTAAATCTGATTTTAGTTTGTGGATTATGACTCCTGGTTGACTGGAATGGGGATATCAGGGAAGAGTGAGAGGTATCAGGGAAAACAGATCTCTAGAGCCCTCCCAAATATTTCTTGCTATGCAGCCGCTGTCTTTGCTATCGCCAGGAAAGGTTGTGATGCCTCTCAAGGCACAGCCAGATAACTGGAAGAGAGTCCTGGCATAGGGTTCCTACTCCCCTCCCCACAGCCTAAGAGTTCTGTCTACATACTCCTAGAGCACCGTCCTTTCTGGGTCATGGAGTTTATTTCACTGTGGTGTCAATTTACTTGTCTGTTCCCTTCACACACTCTGGCCAGAGCTGTACCTAGTGAAAAATGTAGTGCCCAGTACATAACAGGACTTGGTAAGTATTTGTCAGATGAATGAATGCACAGCAGATTAGTGGGGAGACAGCGTGGAGTCAAGACCAGTGAGAAGGCAGATGTAGTAATCTTAGAGATCATAGGAGTGTTTAGTGGGTGGGGACAGAATGGAAGGAGGAGCACATTTCTACTGCGTAGGTGGCCCTTGAGGCTACCTGAGTAGGGGCTCACACACCACTCAGTGCCACTGACCACTGAGGAACAGCAGGAAGCAAGTGGCCCAGACACTGACCTGGCACTTTCCCCAGCTGCCTGACCTGTAGACCAGGACAGACACTTTGGGACATTTTTCATTCCTTGTGATCAGAAGACTTCTTGAGAGTCATTTAGCAAGAACAGGCCACCCCTGGCTCCCATTGTACCCACTGGCTGATTTGCAGTGTTGCTTTTCTCAGGGAGTCACTCCCCACATCTCCAGGACCCCTCTTTGCTGGGGGCATTCAGAACCTGCCTCTCCGGCTGGGTGCAATGGTTCATGCCTGTAATCCCAACACTTTGGAAGGCTGAGGTGGGAGGACTGCTTGAGGCCAAGAGTTCAAGACCAGCATGGGTGACATAGTGAGACCTTCTCTCTACAAAAAAATAAATAAATAAAAAGATGGGTGTGATGGCACATGCCTGTAGTCCTAGCTACTTGGGAGGCTGAGGCAGGAGGATCCCTTGAGCCCAGGAGTTCAAGTTTACGTTGGGCTATGATTGCACCTTTGCACTCCAGCCTGGGTAATAGAGCCAGATCCCATCTCTATGAAAAAGCAAAAGAACCTGCCTCTCTTCTCCCAGTCTCCCTCAGAGGCAGCCAGCGGGGGGCCTGCGCCGGCACACAGAGTCTTCTGCCCGGAGTACCCTCTCCTGGCTGCTCTGAGCCACACCCACCGACTCTTCTCACCGTTGGTGCCTGCACAGGGATCTGCAGCTCACAGTGTGCTTTCCCAGCCGCTCTCAAAAAAGGTCTTCTCCATGCTTATTTTGCAGCACAGCACACGGGCCCGGGGAGGTTATGTGGCAGAGCTGGACCAGAACCCAGGACCCCTGAAGCCAACTTCTTTGAACTTTCCACCCTTAGCACCTTGCTGGACCCACTCATCCCCTCCACTAAGTAAGAAACACCTAACGGTGGAGCCTGGGTATTAGTTTCTTAGTCCTTCCTCCACACCACACCCAGGGTGATATTTTGTGCCAGGTGGGTCAATTGGTCAGAATGTTTGCTGAATTGAAGGTGGGAGGCAGAGGTTAAACCCACCTTGGACTGGAGGCTCACTACCTGGAAAGGTTGCACCGGGAGAGGCCCTAGCACGCACGGTGTGTACATGGCCATCTGGTTTTATAAATTTGACTAAAGTAAGATAGTTTTAAATGGCATTGGTTAAGTCCATTGTCCCTTTCCTCTGCTGCCCCCTGTCACACTTCCTCTCCTGACAGATGGTGTTGGGGTGGCTCTGGGTATTTGGGGATCTAGCTAAGGGGAAGTTGAGTTGGAGGAACATTGAGTTAGGGTTAAGTGGGGTTCACTTACGTGGCTCACAGCCACTTCCATGTATATATTGCTTCTTGCTAGTCATCCTAGTGTAGAAATGGCTTCTGGGGCGACTCCTGCAGCTCACTACTGACTCTTCCAATGCCATGACATGAAGGCTTAGGGCCAGCAGCTGTTTGCGATATGAGTGTGTCTGGTGAGGCTGGACTGTGGTATATGTGGGTAGTGTTGGAGAAGTAAGGTTTGAAATGAAAGAGCCAGAAACTGGTCTGGGGAACATTCTTCTGACCATCGAATGCATAACATCAGAAGCTTGGGCTCATCTCAATGGCAGTACAATCCTATAATGCATACTATACTTTTTTTGAGAGAGAGAGAAAGAGTTTCACTCTTGTTGCCCAGGTTGGAGTGCAGTGGCACGATCTTGGCTCAGTGCAACCTCCGCCTCCCAGATTCAAGTGATTCTCTTGCCTCAGCCTCCCAAGTAGATGGGATTATAGGCACCTGCTACCACACTTGGCTAATTTTTAATATTTAGTACAGACAAGGTTTTACCACGTTGGCCTGGCTGGTCTCGAACTCCTGACCTCAGGTGATTCACCCACCTCAACCTCCCAAAGTGCTAGGATTACAGGCGTGAGCCATCTTGCCTGGTCACAATACTTTTTTTTTAAGTGGGAATCATGTGTAGTAGAATGTATTTCTATTCTGTAATAGAATCAGATTTTTTGGTGTGCAAATTTCTGACTGATTTGAACAAGGAAACTTGAAATGCCCTGAAATCTTATAGCTCATGTCCAAAAACTGATAGGGGTTTCCCCAACTTTAGCAACAACCCTCAACAGTTACATGACAATACCAATAATAATTTGTGAATGTGAATTTTCTAAACTGTCCATAATCAAAACCAAATTTGGATTAACCATGTTAGAGAAAACACTGAAATATCTTTCTATTTTCTCCATGGAGAAAAACATTACAAAATTGTCCCAAGAAGAGCTAATCAAAAAGTATGCAGCCCCCCAAATAATATACAGGAAAATTTTAATAGAGGCAGATTGGGCTGTTAACTAATAAAAATGTTGTGTTATTTTTCTGTGTTTTGTGATTTTGTGGTAGTTCTCCGCTTTTTAACACTTGTAATTTGTTATGCTTTCTTTTCTCGTTCTACATAAATTGTCATGTTTGTGCTAATTTTGTATTTGTTATTTGGTGTTATTTTTCTCTTCTTTTCTTTTCTTTTTGAGACGGAGTTTCCCTCTTGTTGCCCAGGCTGGAGTGCAATGGTGCGATCTCAGCTCACTGCAACCTCCACCTCCCAGGTTCAAGCGATTCTCCTGCCTCAGCCTCCCAAGTAGCTGGGATTATGCTCATGTGCCACTATGCCCGGCTAATTTTTTGTATTTTTAGCAGAGACGGGGTTTTTCAATGTTGGTCAGGCTGGTCTTGAACTCCTGACCTCAGATGATCCGCCTGCCTTGGTCTCCCAAAGTGCTGGGATTATAGGTACGAGTCACCGCGCCCGGCCTTGGTGTTATTTTTCTTATCTAACCTCCCCCGCCGCCCCCAGTAAACTGCAGACCCATGACTCGGTCACTCTCTTTGGGCCTTGTGTCCTTCCTTCTAGGCAGGGATGGGGCCCTGACCTTGCCTCGAACCCTCTTCCAGAGAGAATTAAAAGATGATCCTGTTAATTGTTCAGTCGTCCCTCACATGTGCAGAGGCAAAAGCACATGACTTTATTTGATCCTTACTGCAAACCATTAGGGAAAAACTCCATGTTTTCATTGTGGCAGTGTTTGAATGTACGCAAAAGGAGGTGAACACGCGCGATGCATGGTGCAGGATGGGCTTGGTGACGTTCCCTGGCACTGGGTTCTGGAATGGCAGGGCCAGACGCATGATCTCTGCAGTTTGACTCCTCTCTCCATGCTGTCCCCACACTTTATGGCACATGACATATGTAATTATGTGGTCACATCTGCATCCTTCCACCTGGCTTGGAAACAGGTAGCACCTCTGATCCTCAGGGTGGGGGCAAGAATCCAGTGGCAGCTGGGGGGCTGTCTACAGCTGAGCTAACGGGATGCTTCTGAGCATGGAGAGGACTGAGTCTGTGTCTCCCTGGGGTCTGATGGGCACAGATCTCTGGACAGCATATCTCTGGGCAAGGGAACAGCATCAGAATCATTTGGAGAGCTTTTCTTATATATGTGTTGTGTGCCTTATCCCAACCTATTCTAATACCAGCAGGGATAGGGAGAAGACAGGTGCATTTTGGAAAATTTCCCAGGCAAATCTTATACCCATCCATGCTCAGAGTGAGAACCATGGCCCAAGGGGCTCATGGGAGTAAGAAGTCCGTGGGGACCCAGATCTGCTCACAGCTGAATGTAGCCACCTGCTCCTAGGGGAGCGTGGAGTCAGGGCTGTGTATACAGCCGGAGCTGGGAAGTCAGACTTCCCTGGTCCACCTCCTCAGGAGCTATTTGACCTTGGGCAAGTCACTTGACCCTGAAGTCCTCTGCCTGCTTATCTACAAAATGGAAATCATCGAAGCCCTTACCTCAGGTGAGATAACGCTCTTAGCACAGAATCTGACACACCACACTCAAGAATGTTAGCCACTCTGTTATTTCCAATGGTGACATCAGACAAGGGTGAAGGGGAAGGAATGTTCTCTGTTCTGGGGCCCAAGCGAGCTGCAGACTCTTCTCCCTCCTTCACGGCAAGATGCCAATGGCTAGAGGCTCCTCCGGAAATCCAGCCCAGCCAGATCTCCTTTCAGGCTGGAGCTGGGACCACCCTCCTTTGTCTGGAGCTGGGGAAACTGGTTTGGGGAACTGGAGAGTTTCTGGTGTCACCCGCACCCTTTCTCTTCTGGGGGCTGTTCTCAGCGAGGGGAGAGCCATGCAGACAGGCGCTCCTTTTCAGCATGAACAGGTGGGAAGCCTGGAACCAGAGAAGGATGCTGGGGGGCTGGGGGTGGGCGAGGAGTGCTGGCGCCGGCGGGAAGGCTTTGACAGGGCTGTGAAGGAGGTACATTCACAGACTCCCCAGAATCCCCTCTTCCCTCTTTTTTGGCAGCCCTGATCCCCAAGGTGTGCAGGCACTCACACCACCAAAGCACCCTCCATGCAGGGGAAGGGGGCTCAGTCAACTCACACCCATTAAGTGTCATATTTAAGATGGGGCAATACCTTGTAGTGATTTTGCAACTGGCACCAGAGCCCTTTCTTCAAATGTTCCTTACTCAAGTGCTCAGACTGGAGAGAGACTGGGGGCTTGGCATCGTCCCTGCCACACACACAGCAGTCCCAGGGGTACCCCTTGGGTCCCTGGGGCTGGGGAAGCATGACCAAACAGCAAAGGAGAGATGATTGCCAGGGAGTCTCAGCCACGAGAGCCTCTGAGGCCCATCCACTCCCTGTCTCCTTCCCCTGTGAGCTGCCCACTCCTGCCCCCGCCCTCCCCCCGACCCCGCCACTCCTGGAGCCAGGAAGGGCAGAGTCAGCACTTGAACTCAGAACCCTGTCGTCAGATTCCTGCTCGGCCCTTGGTGGTGGAGACTGACGGGGAGCCTTCTCATCTGCCCCTCCTGCCAGACTGGCTCCAGGCCTGCAGGACCCACTCCGATATTTGGGCATGGACCCTGTGCCAGACCCTTCCTGCCCGAAACCTGAGGTCTCCAGCCCTTGTCTGAGGGTTTTCTGTTTCCTGGTCCTGGGAGCTTGCAGGGAGGGGACAAAAATGAAGATCTAACCCCACTTACTGCCAACACTCTTGCCTCCCTGTGCCAGGGATTAGGGGTGAGAGTGCTTTAGAGGCAGGGTCCCCACAGCCCAGGTGGGCTGATGAGATGAGCTGTCACCCCATATTATCCCTCCTGTCCCTACCATCACTCCCTCCTGTACCCTGAAATGCCACTGGAGGGAGGTCCCACGCTTTCTGCTGTGTGTGCCCAGCTGCCACCCCCAACAAACAAATTCCTCTGAAATTGATCCAGCCAGGCTACTGGGCAGCCCCTGGCTGGACACATGAGAACGACAGCATGCATTTTATAAATGTGACCAAGGAGGGAGGCCCTGCTGGAGCAGAACAGAAGGGGCTCTAGTGTTGAAGGCGTACTGGTGCTGCCCTTTGAGTTAACTCATCCCCCTAGGTCTTCACACATCCCGTGTCCTGGACACCAGCCTCCCTCTTCTATCCTCGGATCCATCTGATGCCAAAGCCAGTGTTCCTTCCTCCCCACACACAGCAGTCAGAAGTAACAGATTTGATGCATGCACGGCCAAATGGAGGAGCTTAAAACAGAGCCGAGAGAAGAAAGTCAGAGCGTGAGATGCACAACACAACCCATTTACATTAATTAAAATAGATGTGCCCCAAACGAAGATGTGCATGTATAAAAACATGAAGTCTGTTAGCAAGGTGCCCCATGGAGCAGACAGGAAGAGAGTAGGGAGTGGGGTCAACAAGAAATCAGAGAACAAAGAGAGAGAGAGAGTGAGAGAGAGAGGGAGAGGAAAAAGGAAGAAAAATGAAGCAAGCAAACTCTTTAAGCCACTTCTGAATGTTTCTTCTGGGAATAAAATGTGGATTTATTTAACATGTATATTTTTTCACATAAAATAAAGCCTGTACAATTTTCAAAAATGGAAAGTTGTTTTGATCAGTATTTTATTATTATTATTATTATTATTGTTATTATTATTTTATTTGAGATAGGGTCTCACTCTGTTGGTCAGGCTGGAGTGCAGTTACCCAATCACAACTCAATGCAGCCTCAAACTCCTGGGCTCAAGCGATCCTCTCGCCCCGCTTCTGGAGTTGCTGGGACTACAGGCATGCGCCACCACATTCAGCTAATATTTTATATTTTTGTAGAGTTGGGGGTCTTGTTATGTTGCCCAGGTTGGTCTCAAACTCCTGGCCTCAAGTGATTCTTCTGCCTCGGCCTACCAAAGCTCTGGGACTACAGGCATGAGCCATACCGCACCAGGTCTTGGTTAGACATTTTTTAAAAGCAGACACGTGTGTGTGTGTGTGTGTGTGTGTGTGTGTGTTTCTTTTTCCTGAAGGCTGTTTCATGGCTTACAGGGCAAAGGGTAAAGGACCGATACAATGTTCTCTTTAAAACGTTGTAGAAACAAAGAAAAGAAGTCCCTTTCTCTGCATAGGAAGGGACAGGTGTGTCTGAGCTGATCCCACGCCATGACGGTGGCTGCATTGCCCCTGTATCAAGGCCACCTGCAAGTGCAATCAGAGAGAGTCAGACTTTGACCGTGTGAAGATACAAGATGATTCCAGGGTGAGACATGAACTAGAAAAAGAAAAAACGAGGATGGAGAATTACGCACACTCTGTACTGGAGAGTTACTCTGCAATGAAGAAGAGGAGCCCTGTAGACTAAATGACTCCAGAACTTTTCACAGAGCAAACATGAACCAAATAAATGAGCCCTCACTGAGATATTGCATGGTGGGTTGTGGTCAGAGTGCCAATCCAGGAGGCTTCCTGAAGGAGGCGAGCACCAGAAGCCAGAAGCACCAAGCCAGAGGCTGAGCAGGCTGGGCAGGAGCTATTGCTGTGTACTCTGGAAGCAGGGGTAGCTGGTTTGGACCCCTTCATCTGCAAGAGGACACGCTAGACCTCCTGCGTGCACTCCTTTGATCGGCCTCTCTCAGTATCTTTGAAAGGGGCGTGGGTCTGAACCTGGAGCTGGGCATTGTTCTTCATGCCCTGTGGAGGAGGCTTCCCTAGGGGCAAGTGTGGAGGGCAGGCTGGAGTCTTCTCCTGAGCCGGTCGGTTCTCGTGTGTGTGTGTGTGTGTGTGTGTGTGTGTGTCTGTGTGTGTGTGTGCATGCACAGGCAAGCACCTGTGTGCACGTAGGCATGAGGGAAGGGGTGGTTAGGGCCCAAATTTACCCAGTGAAGAGAGCCCGAAGTTGCAGTTTTTGTCACCAGGAAGTACGGAGGTACAGGCCAGCAAACCTCTTGGAGGGCCCAAGAGAGTAAGCTCAGGTTTATAGAAGCCATCATCAGCAGGGGAGGGGCCTGAGGCCTGTCACTTGGCAGGACCCATTAAAGAGAAAAGGGCTCAGGGTCCCAAGTACATAGAAGAGTGGCCACCCCCTCCAGGAGCATGAGTGGAAATGATGTGTGTCCCTGGTGGGAATTTGTGGGCTGGGTTTTATTTATTATTGACAAATAAAAATTGCATAGATTTATGCTATACAGCATGATGTTTTGAAATATGTAAACATTGTGGAATGGCTAAATCACACTAATTAATATATGTATTACCACATACACTTATCATTTTTGTGTGTGTGGTGAGAACACTTAAAATTTACTTCCTTAGCAATTTTCAAGTGTCCAGCATTGTTATTAACTATAGTCACCATGTTGTACAATAGCTCTCTTGAATGTATTTCTCCTCCTAACTGAAATTTCATATCCTTTGATCGACATCTCTCTAATCCCGCCCCCTCCCCACCCCAGGCTGGCGCCTTTAAGCAGTGGGTGTGCCTCCTCTAAGTTTTCTTTCCACTGCACAGTTGCAGACCACAAGGCATTAGGCCAGGGTTGGTGGAACCACAGAAGAGAATGAGCTTGGGTGCCTGAATCACCACAAGGAAGACAGCTGCCCCATGACGGGACTTGGACTGTGCCTTGGACTCAGACAGGAGAAATAGATTTCTACTGTGTTCAAGCCTGTCTGCATCTAGGGCCTGGTTATCTCAGCTGTTTACCTGCCCTAATACTCAACATTCCCAGGCTTGTACGTGCACGCATCATTACCCCTGTTGAGTCTGTCCCTGCTTAGGCCTCCATAGTTGCTGGATTCCTCCATCCATCCACCCATCTACCCATTCATCCTACAAATGCTATTGACTTTTTTTGGATGTGCACACTGTGCCGGGTGCAGGACTCGTCTTCCTGTGTTGCTCACACTCTTCACTGCCTCTCCAGCTTCTCTGAATCCCATTCGATTTTCCCAGTCTACTTCAGACCCGCTGCCTGCTCAGAAGCCCTTCCTGACCGCTGCAGGCCAGGCCTTTGACAACTCAATCCCTCACAACTAGCCAGTCCACGAACCCATTCCTGGATTCTTTTCTGGGGGGCAAAATGGGGGAGACAGGGATGTGAATCCTCCCAGACTGGGATAGTAAAAGTCTCAGGTGGCAGAGAGAAGGTGAAAGCTAATTTTAGCTATAAACCCACAGATGTCAGGCATGTGGAGGAAACAGGACCTCTTGATAATGGATTACATTTCTCCTGGGTATGAGCCTCTAATGTCCTCTGTCACTCTTCTCTTGGACACACGCACGCCTTCAGACTCACAAACAAGACAGCGAGGCCAGTTGTGCCTGAAACAACTGAGAAGTTGGGTCCTCGCCCACGTGGGTGAGAGTTGCTGCGGCAGCTGGCAGGCCTTGGTGGGCCACATGCCAGGCAGAGCTGGGACTCCAAGGAAGGATACTGGGGTGACTCTGGAGGAGGTCTAGGTGGGAGGGTCTGAGCTCAGTTCCAAGCCTGGGTGTCAAAGGTGCTGGAGAGAGTCATGGAGCAGAGCTCTGGCCTTTCCCCACTGGGTCTATTTGCCTTTCCATATTTTATAGTTTTGATAGTTAGCTTTCTAGAGGTCACCTCCTCCGTGAAGCCTTCCTGAGTTCTATCAGGCAGAGAATTCCCTCCCACCTTTTTCATGCGCCTGTTACAACCCTGAGGTCGTGGTGTCATCGTTTATCTTTCTTTCTAAATTATGGCTATCCCAGACCCAGGACTGCTAGTATCCAGTACGGCACCCGGCACAGAGAAGGCATGCAATACACAGTAATAATAACAGAGCTGTCCCTAACAGATGAAGAATATGGACAAACTGAAGGAAAAGAGACTTAAAATCCTATAAGAAAATGTAAAAAGATAGGAACAGACAATTCACACACATAAAAGGTATAAAAATAGCCCTTAAACAAAGGAGAAGATGTTCAGCTTCACTCATATTAAGAGAAATGCTAATTAAAAGTCACTCATCAGCCAGGCAGAAATGCAACCGCTTGACAATCCGCGCTGCTGAGGGCGGTAGGGAGACAGGTCCTCTTAGACATTCGTTGCTGGTGGAAATGCAAAATGGCAAAATCCCATGAAAGATAATTTGTCGACATCTGAGAAAACTACATAGACATTTGCCTTTCCACTCAGTAACCCCCTTCTAGGAATTTACCCTGAAGACACATCTTAACAGTATGAAAATACATAAGTACACACACTCGTGGCAGCATTATTTGTAATGGCAAAAATATAGGAAATTACCTAAATGTCAGAGCATAAGAGATGAGTTGAATAAACTAGGAGACAGCCACACAGTGGGGTGCTGCCCAGCCATAAGAATGACCGGGCAAGATCTCTGAACAGATACGGAGTGATTTTCAGGAAATGTTACGTGAAAACAGCAAAATGCAAAGAGAATATGTAGTATACTGTCTTTTATGTAAGGAATAAAGGAAATAAGAAAAAGTGTATGTATCAGCTAATTTCTTTTCCAAAAAGAAGCATAGGAAAGATAAACTAGAAGCGGCCGGGCGCGGTGGCTCAAGCCTGTAATCCCAGCACTTTGGGAGGCCGAGGCGGGTGGATCACGAGGTCAGGAGATCGAGACCATCCTGGCTAACATGGTGAAACCCCGTCTCTACTAAAAATACAAAAAAAACTAGCCGGGCGTGGTGGCGGGCGCCTGTAGTCTCAGCTACTTGGGAGGCTGAGGCGGGAGAATGGCGTGAACCCGGGAGGCGGAGCTTGCAGTGAGCCGAGATCACGCCACTGCACTCCAGCCTGGGAGCACAGTGAGACTCCGTCTCAAAAAAAAAAAAAAAAAAAAAGGAAAGATAAACTAGAAACGAATAAAATTGATTATCTTTGAAGGGTGAGGTGAGGGACGAAGACTGGAGAGGAGTTTGTGACAGTGATGCTTCTCTGAGTTTTCATTTTCAGAATTATATAAATATTATATGTATTAAAAAACTAATAGTAAATCAATAAGGATGTGGCAAACCCTAAAATGGAGTTTAAATGGAAACAAATGAATCCAAATGTATTTCAAATTACTAAAATAACCACACTAAAGGGGAAAAAAAGGAAACTAAGTATGTTTGGTTTTTGTTGTTTTTTGTTTGTCTCACTCACTCTATCACCCAGACTGGAATGCAATGGCACGATCTCGGCTCACTGCAACCTCTGCCTCCCAGGCTCAAGTGATTCTCCTACCTCAGCCCACCAAGTAGTTGGGACTACAGGTGTGCACCACCATACCCAACTAACGTTTTGTATTTTTTTTTTTTTTGTAGAGAGGGGGTTGCACCATGTTGTCCAGGCTGGTCTCGAACTCCTGGGCTCAAGCAATCCTCCTGCCTCGGCCTTCCAAAGGGTTGGGATTACAGGCATGAGCCATTGCACCCAGCTCCAAGTAATTTTTGAACACAGTACTTTGACCATATCCCCTCAGTCTACAGAAAAACAGAGTTAAAAGTAAGTCTTGATCTCTTAGGAGGCTTGTTTTTTGCAGTATAATAAGAACATTATTGGGATAATTGACAAAACTGGAATATGGACTTCAGATTAGGAAAAAATAATTGTATCAATATGACAAATGTAAATTATGTTTATAGTATATTAAACACTGTGGTTATGCAGAAGAATATTCTTGTTCTTAGGAAATACATGCTAAAGTATTAGTGCTACTTTTCTGTTTGAAATTATTTCAAAATAAAAGTTAAAAAAAATAAGAGCCCTCATGTATTGTGCACTTACTGTGCATTGGACATTGCCAGTACCCCTCATCTGTTGTCTCCTTTAGTCCTCACAACACTCTGAAACCAGAATTTTACCATTCCCATTTTACTAATGAGGAAACTGAGGCTCAGTGAGGGTAATTACTGGAGGTATCTGCTAGTGATCTTGGGATAATTTGAAGCCAGGTCTGCCTGACTCTAAAATCTCCCAAACATTGAATGAATGAATGAATGAATGAATGAATGAATGAATGAATGACTAAGGGTCCCAAATAGCACTTTGTCGTTTCTCCCTAGCCATGCATGGGACTTTCTCTTCTCTGTGCCTTGGTTTCGTATCTTTACAATAACTCCCTGCCTCACCAATGTGCGTGCCATCTGTTAGTGCAGTGATGGTGGTGAGTGTGGCTTGGCAAACAGGAGAGCTGTTCTCCACGCATTCCAGGGGCTGTAGCTTGGCCAGGGGGAGGGCATGAGGGAGGCTGCAGACAGAACGAGGATTTTCACCAGGAGTGGGGAGTGGCAGGAGATGCCGCCCGCACACAAAGTGGCAAGTGGGGCTCACTCACCCCGGCCAGCAGGTGTGTGGGGGAGATGGGGGACAGGACAACATTGAAGAAGTGACTGGGTTGCTGTTGAGCAGAGGGGGATACTCTTACTATAACTCCTGACCTCCCTCAGGTGCCCGCAAGGAGATGTCAATCCTGTTCAGGGAGAAACTATCTCCATGTGCCCTGATTGGTTTATTTCTTCTTGGAGCCAGATGCGGGCAGGAATCGTTCAGCTCATTCCTCGGTGGAATGAAATAGACAGGTGGGCTGGTCCCAGGTGCTCAGATACCTTCCAGTACACCTAGGAGACTGTAGGCCAAGTGCCCTGTGGGGGAGAGCAGGTGGGGCTCATGTCCAAACCCAGGGATGTTCGCGTGATGTTGTATCTGCAGAAGCCCCATCGGCAAAACAATAAAGAAAAGGTGCTCTGATCTAAGCCCTGGGAGAGGGAGGTTGGACGCCTCCCCATCCCCTGCCCCCTGAAGGGCGGCTGCTCAGCCCAGAAGAACAGAATGAAAACCATGTCCCGGTCGGCCAATAAAAGCCTTCCTTCTCCCCTGCTGCCTCCCAGCTGCTCCACCCACCATGAGGCTGGCCCAGGCATTAAATTAGTTTAGTTTCCCCTCTACCACCACAACAGTAGGGCGTTTGGTCATGCATCCTAATATTTGCCCCAGTGTATCGTCTCTGCAACTAGACTTGGGGGCTTCCTCCTGAAAGATGCCAGGAGATGACAGGGAGGGGTTGAGGGAGACCCCCACCGATGATCTATGATCCGGGGAAGAATGTCTGTAGTCGTCCTGAGATGGAGGTGAACTACTCAGCTGACCAGAAACAGGTCCACCCGCCAGACCTCTTGCAGACCCCCCTTCAGCCAGCACGGGGCAAAAGAGCATGTTGCTTGCTCTCCACTCTCTGTGGAGGGGGTAGAAGGTGAGGCAGCTGCATGGGGAGGGTACATTGAGATCCTGAGTATGGTCCATGAGTGATTCCCATCCTGTTCCCTCAGGTCCGGTCCTGACCCATCCCATCCCCTCCCATTCATTCCACCCCATCCCACCCCATCCCACCCCACCCCA